CAAGAAAGGATTAACAGTTGTGGGAACCTTTAACAAAATAATCCAGTTTGGTGTGGCTGTGGTGGAAAGCAGGCTGGCCTTTGGAAGACTGGGTTCTGCTCTGTACTGGGGACTCCTCCTTAAGGCTCCCCTAGCACCTGAGGGAACCTGTGTCCCGGTACTGACCACGCGGCTGCTGTTTTCCAAGAATCTCTGTCTGCGTCTGTCCCCGCTAACTCCCCTCACGCTGTGAGCTTCTTGGGCTTCATACTGTGTCTTCTGAGCCCTGTGACCTTGAGCAAATCGCTTGGTCTGTCTGAAAGACACGCTTCTTCACCTGCGGTGCGAGGGCATGACACCACCGCAGGGCGCTTGCGAGGATGATGTGAAATCAGTGTTTCGAAAGGCCCAACGTGCAGACAAACTGGCCGGTTTTCAGGGCTGTTTAGCACCCTTTAGAATGAAATACTACACATTATGGAGCTGTTCTCTCGCGATGGAAACAGGTTGGTTCTGCTGGTGTGTCTGGGGCGCCCGTGCCCGTCATGAGCACTCCTGAGGAGACACACCAGGGCCAGGCTTCCTCTACCAGGGCTCCCCAGGGGCAGGCGAGCCTCAGGGATGGAAGCTGGAACATGAAGGAGGCCCCTAGATTCTGGTTCACACAGACAGCCAGGGATGGGGTTTTCAGCAGGAAATGGGGTGAACCGAGTCTGAGATGTGGGAAAAGAAGACAAAAAGAGAGGACTGGGGCCAGGTGTGGTGGCTCACACCTGTAATCCCAGCACTTTGGGAGGCCGAGGCAGGTGGATCACCTGAGGTCAGGAGTTTGAGACCAGCCCGGCCAACATGGTGAAACCCTGTCTCTACTAAAAATACAAAAATTAGCCAGGTTTGGTGGCTGGTGCCTGTAGTCCCAGCTACTCGGGAGACTGAGGCAGGAGAATCACTGGAACCCAGGCGACAGAGGTTGCAGTGAGCTGAGATCGTGCCACTGCACTCCAGCCTGGGCGACACAACAAGAATCTGTCTCAAAAAAAAAGAAAGGATTGGATAGGATGGAGGGAGACAGGGAGGGAGGGAAGGAAATGAGGGAGGAAAATGGAAAAAAGAAAATGAGACAGGAAACAAAGTGAGAGAGAAGGCAGGAGAAGGGGAAGAGGGGGAGGAGGAGGGGAGCAGTGAGGAGGAAGGGGAGAGAAGGAAGGGAAGGAAGGCAGGCAGCAGGATATTTTGTTCATAGAGGACACCTAAGCATTAAGCAAAGTGTCCACCTTCACCATTATTCTAAAAAGGAAGGAAGGAGGAAGGAAGAGAAAAAAGGAAAAGGTCAAAAACATTTTGCAGTAAGAGGAGGACAAGGGAGGATAAGGAGAAAGAGAGGGACTGCCAGAACCTGGAAAGCTGAGGAGAAATCTTTCGGTTTCAAGAGCTCAGGAGGCGTGGTCGCCTTCACCGTGCTTTCCCACACAGACTCCGGGTCATCATGCCCTTCCATCCCTTTCTACCATCAGCAGCACGGCCATTGTTTCTCTAAGACGGCGCCTTGATCAGGAAACATTGATTTCTACCCTAAATCCAGAGTTGGAAGAACAAAGGTTCTATGTGGAACAAAGACTGAGTTCAAACTGCTTCTTCAAGTTTACAGTCAAGAATGCAAGTGCATGTGTGTGTACATGTGTATACATAGGTGTGCATGTGTGGATGTGTGAGCTGTGTAAATGTGTGTGCACGTGTGTGGATGTGTGTGAATGTGTTAGGGTGCATGCGTGTGCATGTGTGTGCACATGTGTGAGTATGTGAAGACGTGTGTGGACACGTGCATACGTATGAGTGTGTGTGGACATGTGTGTGGGGTGTACGTGTGCGAGTATGTGTGTATGTATGTGCATGTGTGTGGACATGTGCGAGCATGTGCAGATGTGTGTAGACACGTGGACTTGTGTAAATGCGTGCACATGTGTATGTATGCATGTGTGTAGAAATGTATGGATGTGTGTAGACGCATGTGGATGTGTGTGGTCTGTGAATGTGTGTGGTCATGTGTGTAGACATGTGGATATGTGTGGATGTGTGTGAACGTGTGTAAATACATGTGTGTTGATGCATGTCAACAAGCATTGGCACATGTGGGTGTGGGTGTGTGCATGGATGTGTATATTGTGCATGTGTGTCTACACATGTGAAGTGTGTGGACACTCATGTGTGGATGCAAGTGGACACATGATGCATGTAGATGTGTGGATGCTTTTGCATGTGTATGCATGTGTGTCAACATGTCTGATGTGTGTGGATGTGAGTGATGTGTGTGGACATGTGGCCATATGTTGACACATGTAGACATCTGGGTATGTGCGTGTGTATGCATATGTGTCAACGTGTGGATGTGTGTGATTTGTGTTGGTGTATGTGGGCATATGTTGACACATGTAGACATGTGGCATGGGGGCATGTGGACACATGTGCATGTGTGAGGGTGTGTGTGGGCTCTGTATCGTAAGCAGAAGTCTGGGGAGTATCCGCACAGCTTTCCTCAACACTGAGCAGCAGCAAGAGCCATGCTGGGGCCTCAGGGACCACCTGCCTGCTGCAGGACCCGGGTGTGCAGCTCTGCCTGACCGCCCTGCAGTTCGAGGGGCCACCTGTCCCCTTCTCTCAGTCCTCTCCCGTACTGGGAGAGCCCAGCCCAAGCCAGGAGGCCTGCATTCATGAGAAGCAAGGTGTCCAAGGCAGACACATCCTCTCTTTAACGCAGCGCTGCGTGTGTTTGTTCATTCCCGAGCCACAGAAGCCCTTGTTTCTTTCATTCAGTGAGTCGGCTGAGGAGAGGGGAACGAGTGGAAACGCACAGCTTCCACACCTTTTTAAAAGGAGCTCCTTACGCATGTGGACGAAAGAGAAGTGGCAGCGTCCCCACCCCCGCGTTGGTGGATGGAGGTGGTGGCGAGGTGACGATGCCTGAACATCCTGGCTTGGGGCTGCCGGGCAGCCGGAGAGGAGACAGAGGCTGAGGGCACAGCCCGTGGCCCTAGACCCCAGCAGGCTCAGCCCCTGGCCCTAGACCCCAGCAGGCACAGCCCCTGGCCCTAGACCCCAGCAGGCTCAGCCCCTGGCCCTAGACCCCAGCAGGCACAGCCCCTGGCCCTAGACCCCAGCAGGCACAGCCCCTGGCCCTAGACCCCAGCAGGCTCAGCCCCTGGCCCTAGACCCCAGCAGTCTCCTGGTGTTCCACCCAGGAAAGGGGCTCTCCCTGGAGGCCTGGACATTGCCCTGGGATCTGCCCGCATGGCTGGCCTGAGCCCATTTCTGTCTGATCGTTCAAGGCTGGTTCCCAGCCAGGCGCAGTGGCTCACATCTGTCATCCCAACACTTTGGGAGGCCGAGGTGGTGGGATCACCCGAGGTTGGAAGTTCAAGACCAGCCTGGCCAACATGGCAAAACCTTGTGTCTACTAAAAATACAAAAATTAGCCGGGCATGGTGGCACGGGCCTGTAATCCCAGCTGCTTGGGAGGCTGAGGCACAAGAATTGCTTGAACCCGGGAGGCAGAGGTAGCAGTGAGCTGAGACTGAGATCTCACCACTCAACGCCAGCCTGGGTGACTGAGTGAGACTTTGTCTGAAAAAATAAAAATAAAAATAATCTTTTTTAAAAAGGCTGGTTTCCCATCAGAGACAGGCAGGGCCATACAATAGTGCTCAGGGAGGTGCCCAGCCAAGCTCTGGTGGGGCTGGGGCGGCGGCTGTGCTCACAACAGGCTTCCCAGCAGGGGTTCAGGCACTAGAGGGTCTTCTCCCCATCTCCTGCAACTTCCAGCAGGAAGCAACCGCCCTGTGACTGCCCGCCACTCCCAGAAAGCCTCGTCTTCCCATCCCTGCCCCTGGCTGACCGGAACGTGCGCCCACACTCTTAACAGCAAAGGGCGTGTGCCTCCCTGTCCTCCCGGGAGAAGCCCCATCCTGATGCTTCCTGGCTGGTGTCACAATGGCCAAAGGAATGTGGCTCTGGGGCCAGAGCAAGGGTGGCCCTCTGTCTTGAGTCCCACTCATGGGCTGCTCCAGGTTAAGCTGGTCAGCACTCTGAGGCTGGAGGTCCCAAGACCCTGCTATGGGCCAGAGCTCCAAGTGACCCCCAGTGAAACTGCCCTGAAGACATGTGATGGGCGTGGTGGCTCACGTCTGTAATCCCAGCACTCTGGGAGGCCAAAACAGGCGGATCACCTGAAATCAGGGGTTCGAGACCAGCCTGGCCAACATGGTAAAACCCTGTCTCTACTAAAAATACAAAAAAAAAAAAAA